TATATATATATATAATATGAAGAAAATAATTCAGGAAATTTATTCTTAAATTTGAATTTAAGTATATCAAATATTAACGTATTTAAATAAGAAGTGAATAGCTTTTTTTTTGTCTTATATTGTTTCTTACGTCTCAAATGTAATGTCCTATAATTTTTTTTATTTTTTTTATAGAAGTATCACATTAACACCCTGGTGTGAAATTACTGGCGTGCAATAATAACTGCATGTATATATTTGAAAACACGTGTAAATTTAAATTAAAAATTCATATTTATTAATTCATATTTATTTTAATTGAAATAAATATAGCGTAACAACTCAAGAGGTTAAGGGGGTATTGGATTAGGATTTTAAAGGACTTTTTTAGTTAAAAAAGTTATGCAGATTTAAAAAGATTTTACAGGATTTTCATGACTTTTAAAATTTTGCAGGATTCTACAACACTTAAAATTAGGATTTTAATAGATTCTGCAAGATTTTTAAATAGGATTTTAATGGATTCTGTGAGATTTTGTGGATTTTGCAGATTTTGTAGAATATTTGTGGATTTTTGACATTTGATAAGATTTCAAAAAAAATTTCATACATTCAAATTTAAGAAGAGTCAAAGACAAAAATAATAAAAAACAAAAATGTCTAGATAAATAATATAATAATTCTCCATAATAGCCTATCCTCTTAAATAGAATTCACCCACATATCCATAGCTATACTAGTCCTCCAAGCATTAGCGTCTTATGGCTCTTGCTCCTGGGTTTGAATAATAGGCTCAAAAGTATGATCTTCATTAACAGGCAGTGACCGATCCATAAATTTTAGATAGTGGGGGCAATACTTATTTATATATTTGTAATATTAAAAATTTTACATATATAACTTTTAAAAGCATAAATATATTATCATAATTATTTTTTTACAATTTTTTATATTTACGATTACAAGTAAATATGAAAATAAATTAGGTTAGACTAAATTTTATTATAACTTAATAGGTTTGAACCTAACTTTTTTAAAAAATATATATCTTAAGTATGACTTATTTATCTATCATAGACATTTTTTAAATTTTTGGTTAGAACTACAACCCTAAAGACCTACTTTATAATAATTCAGCACTATTAAAAATATAAAATAAATATGTTAAATTTAATAAAAATTAAGTTTAATTTATTTATGATATAAACATGTTTTTAATATCTAATACGTATTTTCAGATGATAATTTATTTTATATTTTATAATAACAATTCTAAATGGAACATAAATCATTTGATTTTTTTAATCAATATATACAATAAATAGAAAGCACAAAAGGTAAACATGCATACTGCAAATTTTATTTTATTAAAAATTGATTTTTTTAATATATTACATTATATATGTGAGTATTAATATATATATATATATATATATATATATATTATAATTAAATCTTTTAAGAAAATTGATTTGTTATTAAAGAGTATTTTTTATCACATAAGAGAATTAATTTCCTTCAAAAATTTGACAAACATCAAATAAATAAATCTATTCTACAAATCTATATTTTATTCATATAATAATTTAAATATTTATTTATTTTATTAAAATATTAGTTTTTAAAATAAAAAATATGTATGTGTGAAATAGTAGTGGGGGCAAGTGCCCCACTACTCTCAACCTGGATCCGTCCTTGTTAACAGGTAATGTTGAAGATGAAGGTTCATTACCGCTTCAATTAGAAATTCATCAGAACGACATTCTTAGATACTGCAAATATTATATGATAATTTTTTAACGATATTTATAAATGTAATAATAATGCACAACATTTTTTAATTTATTAATATTGTACAAGACGTATATAAAAAAACATAAACCCATATGATTTGATATTTTGTTTTGGCATGTTATTTGGTGAATGAAAAACCAAAACAAAGGTGTACACACTGGACAACGAAATTAAAACTAATAAACTATTGGAAAACCATTGCCATCATTCAACTTTGCCACTCAGACATCCATTTAAATGAATGACTTCCAATCCACGAGTATGCGGTCAGTAGGTTCTGCAAATGAAGTTGGCACATAATGATGACAATAAAAATGATTTGATGTCCTCGGGTTGCTGTCCATGTTCAAAAAATATATCTATTGTATACATGGTAAGTTAATTATATTCACAACCAAAATGCTGCAACTTATGTCTGAAACAATGTCGGCTATTTTGTTGTCAAATTCTTGTACAAAGAAAAAATTATGATATAAAATTATAACAACATTTTTTTTTATTTAACGGGTATAATTCGTCAAAAAAAATGTGTGCATCAAAAAAATACTACGAAAATATATCTGTTTTATAATATGTATACAATGTATACAATATGTATACATTAAAATAAATAAAAGAAGATTTTTAATTATATTTAAGAACTTTAATCGTCAACTAAAAAATTGACACAAAATGAGTGGTTACCAAAATATATCTTGTTTATAATATGTATACATAAAAATAATGTTATTTATTATATGTATTAAAATACTGAAAAATATACAATAACAATACGTTTGAAATTATTAATGAATAAATTAAACAAAAAATTTTTATACTGTAAACGGTTGTACAACAAATGAAATTTTATATTTATTAAAGTAATTTAATTTACTTAAGAAGACGTGGTGTTGTGCATTATGATTCTCTTACTTTTACTTGTGTTGTGTATCACATGCTGCCAGCTGCCTACCCCTTGTGGTACTTCGCGCGTTGTGTTCTTTTATTACTGCATGAGGTGACTACTCACCACCGTCTGACTTGTCACCAAGGACATGCCGCATCACATCAGTTATGACCAGGCTTTGACCAACCATTCCCACAATGCCGCATGGACACACTGTTTTTTCTAATTTCCAGTTTCTCTATTTATACATGATGCCTCTCATTCTCGCCCGAAGTGTTCCTCCTTTGCTTTGCGTAAATTTTTGTTCTCCGCTACAATTCTTTGCTGTAAGTGTTATTTTCCTATTAATTTATGTTTTTATATATCATATTTATATGACAATAATATAAATTGTTCATACTTCATATATATTTTGTCAATATATTTGTATTGTTCGTTTGCAGGTTAGAAATAAATTTCATGTATTTACTACTAATTTTTACACGTAAGTCTAATATAACAATTGAATATTTCAGTTTATCCTTAAATTAATTTTCTAATCAAATGTCATGTATATGAAGTATTTATTAAAATACAATACTATATTTATTATAACCCATATTGTAATAAATTTGGTACTTAATAAATACTATGTAACATAAAAAATTTAAAATTAAAGTTTAAACATTTTAATATAAAAAATTTATGTTTTCATATATCTAAGTTATATTGTAAGTTAATATAAATAATATATTTAAGCAGTATTTTAAATATTTTATAATAAACACATTTAAGTCAAAAATTCAAATTATTAAACACAACGTACGAAAAATCCTCAACCTACTGAAATTATATTATTTTTAACATATTATAAGTTAACTGATTTGAATTAATTTAAATAAATGTACGTAGCGTGTTTAACTAAATTATTAAATAGTATAAATATCATAAATATATATATATATATATATATATATATATTGAGCCTAGGAGAGCTTGAAGCCTAAAGAAGTTTTGATGATCACAACACAAGTGTACAACAACAACTTACAACTTGGAAGCACAAAAACAAAGTCAAAGAAAAGTCAAGAAAATGCTA